GACAGAAGCTTTTTCTCAAAAATGTATTCTGCTTTTAAAAAATGTTGAAGATAATAGGAGGAAATATATTGACTTCGGAGAAAATTATTGGCAAAAGAACTGGAAGAAATCGTGATTCCCCAAACTCTTCTTTAATACACACACTTCCAAACATTATTGAAATGAAGATATAAGGCAGCTGTGAAAGGAAAAGAAGTTATAAAAAAACAATATATTAGCCACAACAATGATTTTTACCCTTTCAAAATAAGTTCCCCAGAAGGGAGGAAAAGACCTTCCCATTCTTACTTTTCTCATTCTCAATTTTCAATTGGGGACAGGAGAGGCAGTTCAGTAACAGATATTTCTGAATAAATTTAAAGGGACGGCATATCCATCTACTTTAACAATTGAGTTATACACAGTTATGCTTTAAAACCCAGGTCTTAAGGTATAATTAGTGGGTAACAATGGATCCCAAGTGAGCTTGATCTATTGTATGTAACATACTGTTAAGGGTGGCTGAGTAACACAGAACAAACTGAATTAAAAATGAGAAACATCCAATAATGTATCAGTGAAAAGAAGACAGAACAGAACTGAAAACCAAGGCTACTCAACACTGGTGATATCACAATAAAGTGTCTTTCCAGACAGCTAGGGGAATTTATAGTTTACAGAGAACGGATTCTGAGGTCACTTCTTCCATTGCTTTCACACGTGGGTGTGACTCTAGTTTTCTATTTTTGTGAGGAAAAACAACTAAGGAATAAACAGTTCTCTTTTTCCTTTGTATACCTAATGTAACAACCATTCTCTAAGTACTAATAAAAATGAAAGACTCATCACCTGATAAATGAGGAAAAAGTTCTGTAATCCAGGAGTAACTCCAGCACTGTTAACATACAGGATCAGGGCTGAGTCACAGGCAGAGACCAGATGACCTTCACATTACCAACCCTGCCACCCATCTTTTGTTCCCCATTTGCTCCCCGAATGAGTATACATACACTGTAACTTAAATGGGTTGTTCAGTACTTCCTGGTTAGAATTATTTTCAGACATAGGAATGAATTAGGAACCAGCAATTTATCATGCATCAGACTTGGGCAGAGTAAGCAAGTTTGGAGCATAGACATCTCTTAATTATAACCACAAGTTGTCAAAGTGCTTGGCCACTTTGTAATCACTAATAAAAAGTTTTAATATCTGGTCCTGGCTTATTAAGTATGCAACCATTTTAAAATTATGTAAGAAACCCAGATGTTATTAAACTTAGGAGGAAAAACTATGAAATTGGTTAGTCCTATATACAGCAATTTTGTTTTTCTCAAAACACTATTGAAAATGAGAGGGGCTGGGGATTTAGCTCAGCGGCATGAGTGCCTGCCTTGCAAGCAGGCAGTCGTGAGTTTGATCTCTGGTACTGATAAAAATGAAAAAGACCAAAAATAAATAAATAAATAAAAATAAAATGAGAATAAAATTACAGGATATAGCTGGGCATAGAATTGAGGAAATAGAGACTGCAGAACATTTTTGTGCTGCACCAATTTCATTTAAAGAAGAAAAAAGTAAAGGAAGAAAGTTAAACGAGTCAAGTAATAAACTACACTTCTGCCTTAATTATTCCAATAATTTATATAAAAGTTGGGAAACCATCTATATTAAGTTCTGATTAGCTGTTTCCTTTTATAAGCTTGAGTTAATATTTGGAGTTATGGATAATTGTTTGCTATTAGAATTACATCAATCTTGGTTTTCATAGAGCTGTTTGAATATTTTCGATTCCTGTGAAAACAAATTATAGAAAAATAAAAACTATTTACCCTCATAGTTCTGTAAATCTGAAGCCCTATTATGTACTCAGCTAGCTTCTCAATTCAAGTTTCACGAGATTGAAATCATGGCATCCCTTCTGTAGTGCTGGCTTTCTCCTAAGCATATGTGTTTGTTGGTAGAATTAAGAATTATAGTACGTACAACAGAGGGCCTGTTTTCTTGCTATCAGGTTGGGGTTATTCTTGATTGCTACAGCTACCTGCATTTTCCTTATAGGCGCATAGAAATAGCCATTCAGATTCCTTACTTCCTTCCATTCTCTCTATCCATTTATAAATAATTCACTAAATCCTGAAAAGCCCACATTCCAAAAATGTTATTTAATCCCATCCCTGCTCATCATCCTCAGTATGCCACAATTTATGCTTCTAAAACCTCTTCATTGCTTCTTTTTTAGTCTTTCTGCTATGAACCTTTTCCTAATCCATTTCATCTTTATGGCTAACAGATTTTCCTGAAAACTGAAAAAAGTCCCTATCCTTATGGAGTTCAGTCTAGTACAAAGAACCAAACACATACACCGTGTAATAATAAACTACAGAGAAAATAAAAACAGTTAAGAGGGATCAGTGAATTCAGATATGTTCCTAAACCTCAAGGAATTTGTGATTTTTCTGAGGAGTGCTAGGGAGATGGTGATAACATATATCAGAATAGTTCAGGAACTGGGAGTAAGAATTTACCTCACTTGACTGAAAATTAGTTACAGAGTAATTGCATGTATAGTTCTGATGAGTCTCCATGTACTACATTATGCAGCCTGTACTAGAATCATATTACAAACCTAGTAAAAATCAAGTAGATTCCAGGATTCCAACTTTAAGGTGAATGATTCAGCACACATTTCTGAGATTCATTCATGTTATTTTTTTCTTTAAGTAGTATTTCACAGGATGAATACACTAATTTTTTTTTTTAACCTACTTTCCCACTGATGGACACCTAGGATGTTTGCAGCTTTTTGGTGACTATATATAAAGTTGTTATGAGCATTTCTGTACTAGTATTTTTGAGGATATATGCTTTTGTTTCTCTTGGATATATATCAGATGTGGGATTGCTAGATCACAGTGTAGATATATGTTTGACTTATGTGAAGCTGAGAAGCACATAATTTTGGCATCAAGTAATAAACTGTTTAGAATTGATCAAAATGGAGCCTAGAAGAGATGACAACGGATCTGTTATAAAGTCTTAAGCAAACTCTGCCACTCACCAATGGAAATCTGGGGCTTTATAAGAACTTTTTACACAGTCGGAGGGAGGAAAGTTGTGGAGATACCTATAAGTAAATGTAGTTTGGCAGCACATTTGATAGTGAATGTGTGTGAAATACTTCGACAAATTTTTTGCCTCTAAATTTCTTGGAATTCTATTTCATTATGATTAAGCTCAGAAAGGGGGATTTTCTGAATAGGACATACTTATGATCAGATAAAGGCCACTATAGGAAAGGTTTGATGGCATCTTTGGGTGAAGGCCCGTGGTGGTAGGAAAAGTCTTGCTGATAAAGCAGTCTCTCAGCTGAATCTAGAATCTTGAATATTCTCAGCTGAATCTTGAATATTTCACAACATCAGGTCTCTCAGGTTATCCTTAGCATTTAAAAACACCTGCCATCCTTCTGCATGTAACTAGACTCCACCTGATGGCAGGTAGAAAATATGAGAAAGGAACAGGAACTCTTTCACTTCCCCACCAGAAACATCCAGATAACTGTCTCCATCCTTTATCCTTTCCTGTTCCCCTCCAGGGACAATGAAGAAGACATCCCAACTAAAGCAATCTATTTCACCTTTTTTTCCTCTTGTGCTACCTGTATCAAGGCTTACTATGATTTGATAAGCCCTTCCAAAATTCATGGTGAAATTTGTCATTTTAACATTATTAAGTGCTGGCACCTTCAAGAAAGGCAAGCAAGGTCTTGAACACTCTACCTTCACGGATGAATACAGCTACTTTAGGGGAGTGACTTCTTGATTAAAAAAAATGAAAACCGATTTTCTTTTTTTGGGACTCTTGAATGCTTTCTAGTTCCTCTCATGCAGTTATAAATATACTCGACTGCCCAGCCCCCAAAACGGTTTATAATTTATCCTTTGTGGTATGGTTATACCAGTACAAGACAGCCTAAGACAGCGACAGGTTCCTGTCAATATCCCAGGCTCCCCTCAGAGGTCCATCCTGAAAGCTAACTTCTCCACACCAGGTGGGCCCTGGTTCCTACCCTAACTCTATAGCTTCACTGGAGCAAAAACCATCATGGCTATCTCCTCCTTCTCTTTTGGGCCATCAAGGCTTGTGTCACACAGGCACTGCGCCAAGTCTGGGGGAAAGGGCAGACACAATTCCCAGGTGCAGAAGGCAGTCTTTGAAAGCTTGTAATGTGCCTCACTGGGTTGGGAAACCTCTCTGTGCCACATATAGCTATTTTCCTACGTGTTCATTTTCAAACAAAGTTGTGCAAAGGCGACAGCACGCAACAAGTGGCACCGCACCACCAACTGGGCTTTCCTGTGAGGACGGACGGACAGGCGCTGTCACCCAAAGGCAGAGCATCTGCCGCTCAAGGCCAGTTTGCATTCCGAGTCGGTGCAGAGCTGCGGGGACCGTGAGGGGAAGAGCCCAGCGGCTCCCGGCCAATGGCAGTGGCTGAACTGACACCTCAGGAAGTCAGCGTGGCCGTGGAAACGGATGTCACACAGCTGGCTCGGAAGTGTCTCCTCCCGCTACAGAAGCTGGGCGCGCGCAGCGGCCGGAGAACCCTCGGGGGACGCGAGGGCGGAGCGCGCGTCGCGCCCCCGAGTGCCGCACCCTCGCCGGTCACCGCCCAGCCAACAGCGCTAGCTGGGGTTCTGCCCCCGGAGCCGCCGCCGCCCGCGTCCACGTCCCGAGCGCGCCGCCGCGGCCGGCTCCGCCCCCTCCGGGACCGGCCGCGCGCTCCTGCGGCTCCGAGCCGTGTCTCGGGCACGCGCGCCGGCGGCGGAGCCGCAGTTTAAATGGTCCGAGCAGGACCCGGCGTAGCCCCCGCCGCGACGCTGACTGACTGAGGCGGCGAGCCGGGTCCGGACTGGTCGTCAAGCCGGCAGACTCACTCGCTTTCTCTCTCGCGTTCCCAAAGCTCGGCCTACCGTTCTCCCGGCTTCCCGGGGCAAAGCATGTAGCCCCCGTCGGGCGCCCGCCGCCCGCCCCCACCGTCGCGTGTGCCCGCGTGTGCGCAGGGCAGGGCGGGCGACCCCGCTGCGGGCCCGAGGCCCAGCCGCGAGCGGCCGCCCGCGCCTCCCTCCTCCCCGTCCCGTCCCCCTCCGCGGGGCCTTCTATATGGGCCACCTTCTCTCGAAGGAGCCGCGTAACCGCCCGAGCCAGAAGAGGCCTCGCTGTTGCAGCTGGTGTCGCCGCCGGCGCCCTCTCCTCAGGCTGCCCCGCCGGACGCCGGCCAAGGCGCCTCCCCAGCCGGCGGCGCCCCGGAGCCGGGACTGCTTCTTCCGCGGGCCTTGCATGCTCTGCTTCATCGTGCACAGCCCCGGCGCGCCCGCCCCCGCCGGCCCAGAGGAGGAGCCGCCGCTCTCGCCGCCGCCGCGGGACGGGGCCTACGCCGCCGCCTCTCAGCACCTGGCGAGACGCTACGCGGCCCTGGCCGCCCAGGACTGCGCCGCCGCCGCCCGCCGCTTTCTGCTGTCCTCGGCCGCCGCTGCTGCCGCCGCCGCCGCCTCCGCTTCGTCGCCCGCCTCCTGCTGCAGAGAGCTGGGGTTGGCCGCGGCCGCCGCCTGGGAGCAGCAGGGCCGGAGCCTCTTCCTGGCCAGCGTGGGGCCCGTGCGCTTCCTGGGGCCGCCCGCCGCCTTGCAGCTCTTCCGGGGGCCGCCGCCGCCGCCGGCCGAGCCCCCCGCGGGCCCTGAGATGGTGTGCAAGCGGAAGGGGGCCGGGGTCCCCGCCTGCACCCCTTGCAAGCAGCCCCGCTGTGGCGGAGGGGGCTGCGGCGGCGGGGGCGGCGGCGGGGGCGGGCCTGCGGGGGGAGGTGCCTCTCCGCCGCGGCCCCCCGACGCCGGCTGCTGCCAGGCCCCGGAGCAGCCAGCGCCGCAGCCGCTTTGCTCCCCGCCCTCGTCCCCACCTTCCGAAAGCGCCCCCATCGAGGCCGGCGGGGACGCGGTCCGAGCCGGGGGCACCGCCCCCTCTTCCGCTCAGCAGCAGCTTGAATGCGGCGACGCGAACGGTCAGGAGCTCCCCGAAAATCCCTGCGACTGTCACAGGGAGCCGCCCCCCGAAACCCCAGACATCAACCAGCTGCCGCCGTCCATCCTGCTTAAGGTGGGTCTGAGCGAGAGGCGCAGGGAGGCTCCCTTTTCCCTAACCCAGGCCCCCGCCTCCGAGGTTTTATCTCTCCTCCCCTTCTGCGCAGGGGAGGGGGTCCCTGACAGCTGGGGGACTTCCCAAGGGGAGACTGCCACGCCATGAGTGCTTGTGGTCCTGACCGGGTTAGAAGTACAAAAATTTGAGTCTACCTAATTTAGCTTTTTCATAGTGTAAATGTATGCACAATTCAGGGTTCATGTGTTATTAGATTCCTACTGCACTGGTTTATAAACTATTTGTAGGTTTTATAGACCTACATGTGTGAAGTACAGATACATACATTATGTACAGAGGGAAGAGTAATTTGTGCATTGGCTATTTCGTGGGTAAAGGCTTACTCAGTATTTGAAAGTCTTTGAACAGTACTTTTAGGTTGGATATCTGTTGGGTGATAGCAGTTAACTTTCACTGGGTGTTTACAATCATCAGTCACTCTGCCAGGGTTTTATACACATACATTATTCCTCAAGTTCGTGCTTCGAGACAAATAGTGTTTTTTATTTTATAGGAGGAAAAAATCTAACTTTTCAATGTGTTTTGGAACAGAAAACTTTTAGTAGTGTGTCAGGCAGAATTACTCCTGTGGAATTAACAGTCTAGAGATGCTTGAAGTTGAATGATTTGTACAAGGTCATGCACATTAAGGGCAAATCTGGGTTTTAAACTAGGGCATTTAAACCAGCTTCCCTTAGCAAACCTCATTTGTTGATGTTATTTTGTATTGCCTTCATACATTTTTATCCTTACATAAAGGCATGCAGATTACCAGGACAGCGGTATTTCTTGTGGAGAGAGGTGATGAAGAAGAGTGTCCTGTAGGGTCTTTGTTACTTTAAAGAGGTCACTAATTTTACAGTTTTGTCAATACTAGTGACAATTTTAGGTATGTGGTAGTTAGTAGTATTTTTTTTCAATATTGTTTGATGGTTTTTAAGAGACCACCCTTATCTCTTTCTTTCTGGAGTTTAATAGTGTAAACCTCTTTACATTGATATTTAAGATTAGTCAGAAATAAACATAAGAATTTAGCTACTTCTGTTAAAGCAACTGCCATGAATTACAATTGTCTTTGACACCAGTATACATTTTTTAATTAGATTTTTTGCACTTTTATAATTGTGTGTTTGAATCTGTTTTATTGTGATATTAATGTTCTTCTGAATAATACAGTGAAAGAATGAAAAGCCTTCTATTTCAGTTACCAAAATGTGATGCTTTAAGCATTATGGAGGTACATCTGTCAAAAGAGTAATTGCTTACTCTGTGCATAAAGTGCAGTTTAGGGCAGAGGAAGCAAAGTTCTCTAAATCACTGGATGACATGGGCAAATATCAGCAGATACTTGCTATAGAGTTTTCATTGGCAAGTAAGACTGTTTAAAAACAAACCAAAACAAAAAACCAGGTACTTCTTTCAACCTCAGCCACTACCTAGAGAACATTTTAATATCAAAAAGGCCGAATGGACGCAATCTCATAATAAAGAGTACTATGGAGTAAATTTTTCCTATTTATTACATTGTTCTTTTTTGCACTTTTGTTGTGGATTGTTGCAGACTTGGCCTATGGAACGTTAGGAATTATCCATGAACTTGCACTGTTATGTTGGGTTATTGGACATGTTATATAGATTTCCATTCCACATACCTATTAGAAACTTGAATAAACATTCTCTAAATCTTGTGATGCTAGTGACATTCAATATGAAGTGAGTTAAATTGTCTGGGATGAGTTGAGATAAAGACTTGTCAAGTGTCTGCCAAACCAAGTAGAACTTTCGGAGAGCAGAGGTGCTGTGTATAGCGATCTTATTCATTGCTATATGGTATTCAGTAAGTATTAATAAATGAATGAATAAATCAGGAGTTTAGAATCTGGGTAAGACTGGGTGACTGTGCCATATTACTAAGAGGAGTTCTGAGAAATGTTAGTGTTTGAGTTACTATAATTGAGCCATATGATGGTGAAAGACGTCTTTGTGCTTTTGGTCAGGATTGGAGGTGTTTGGCTTGGAAAAGACAAGAGTTAGGGAGTTGTGACAAGTTTTTCCCAGTATTAGCAGGGTTGTTGCATAGAGAAGCATAGATCCCTCACCTACGTTGGAAAATGTTCTTAGAAAGCATACCTCCCTACCCCTGATAAGGTTTAATAGCCTTCCCTATGGTACTGCTTCTTATGAATAGGCAAATTGATACTGCTGTTATAAAAATGAGGAAGCAGAAGAGTTTGGGAGAGAAACAAGAGGAAATGTGGTTTTTGAAGGGATAATTTGAAGTAAAGCAGCTATTTGCTTAATTTTTCCCAGGTATGACAGAAAAGAAAAACTGAATTCTGTTGACTTTGGTAGGCTAATTTTGAGTCAATATCAGGTTTTTTCCTTTTCTTTTTATATAAATAATAAAATTTCTTACTTTGAAATATCCAAATAATGAAGGTAAAGCGAAAATTTGTCTTGCTTCTACCCCCTACTCTCCCAGTGATTTCTATTCCAGAAGTAACCACTATTAACAATTTAGATTATTTTTCTAGACCTGTGCTGTCTAGTATATTAGGCATTAGCTACATGTATTTAAGTTTAAAGTAAAGTTAAGTAAAATTTAAAATTCAGTTTTTCAGTTTTAATGCATTTCAGAAATCTATAGTCAGATGTGGTTTGTGGCTACTGTCCTGGACTGTACTGATATAGAACATTTCTGTCACTGAAGAAAGTCCTATATAAAGTCTTCATAGCACTTCTCTCTTTTTTAATGCATGCACAGATATGAATGGTTAAGTAAATTTGCTTACCCTAAGGCTTTATAGTGAATGGCACCCTTTGGCTGGATCCCAGCTCACTGATTCCAAGTTTAGGGATCTTTTCAAAGTATTGTTTATGAAGCCTTGTATACTCTCTTAGGGATTTTATGAAAGGGATTCCTGAATTGTGTGGGGCTTATGCCACATAACTTCTAAACCACTGGTATGCAATTAATTTTATAATTGGACCAATAGGGTTGAATGTGGCCTTTAAATACAGAAATCTGAGAAGTAAAGAATGGCTCTTCAAAGGTCAGCTGTGGGAGTAGCATTTTTCTTCAGTGTTTATACCTGTTAGTCTTTGGATACTAGATTATTTTGCATCAAATTAGCTAGCTTTTGCCTTTGCTACTTGTTGCTTACGTAACTTGAGCAACTATACCTATACTGAAATTACAATTAGATTTTCATATGGCAGAAGTACAGTGCAACAAATTGTTTTTTTTTTTTTTTTTTCCTTACCTAGTTTCTGTGTGAGTAATTTGGTATGTTGAGACCTACATTTAAATATTAGAGATTTTTTTTTTTTTTTTTTTTTGGTGCTTTATGTTTAAATTATCCCACTCTTTCAGCAGACCTGTTTTTTTCTAAAGTAAGCTTGGAGAGCGGGGAGATCTAAAATCTATCACTATTGTTAGAAAACTATTTCACAAACATTTGCCCCTGATATTTTCAGTAGATATTGAATTCTTATTTCTATAGGTTTATAACCAACAGTTGATTTGGTGGTCAAGGAAGTTTTATAAGAGACTTGTGCTTTAAAGGAAAATTTAAGTACTTGATCTATCTTTTTTTTCTGGATACAAAAACAGGAACAAATGTATGTGGAAATGAAAGTCAAAGGAGAAACATAATCCCATTTTTTAAAGTGTAGATTTCAGTAAGTGGGAGGAAGAATTAGGTTAATATATACTCTTTCATGAATGCTTGATTTAAGGTTCTGTTTACCAAATTAACCTTGAAGAGATGAATAATGGTTAATACTGAAATGAACTTTTGAGAGTCAGATTTATAGTCCTTTTTTTTTTTTTTTTTGGTTTTTTCATTTTTATCGGTACCAGGGATCGAACTCATGACTGCCTGCTTGCAAGGCAGGCGCTTATGCCGCTGAGCTAAATCCCCAGCCCCTATAGTCCTTTTTTTCCCAGAGGATAGTCTACGAAAAAGTGAAGTTTGTTTAACTTCTCAGTTTTTTCACTTTTTTATTGGTGACATAGATTGATGGATTTTGTTTTAGTAGATTTGTAGGTGCACATACTTTGATTATTTTCACCTCCCACTCCATTTGCCTTGCTTTTCCCCCTAGTTTTGCATTTTTGGGGGGAGTTTCAGTGCTTATCTTTAGTTCACATTGATCCTACTTATTACCTACCCTTACACCCCACCTCCCTCTGACTCCCTTTCTTTTGTCCAGTAGTCCCCCTTCTACTTTTTTGTCCTATGTTTTAATTTCTACACTTTAGAGAGAACATGCAATATTTGTGTGAGTCTGGCTTAGTTCACTCAAAATGATGGTTTTCAGACTCATTCATTTTCCTACAAATGACAAAATTTTGTTGTTATGGGTGAATAGTACTCTATTATATATGTGTGTGTGTATTCTTTGTCCATTTATGTGTGGATCTGATCTCATCTGTTTACTTCACATTTATGAATTCTGTCATTTTTGGTGCTTTGTCCTGAGTAGCTGTTGCCTTTCTTTGTCAACTTGGGGTACCAGGTTGTATTCTTGATAGGGAAAGGGAGAAAGGGTAAGTGAGGGTTTTTCATATTAGCATAGCAGAGGCTTAATCTTTGATCATATATTTTATTTTATGCTTATCATCTACTTGCTGAATTCTTTTTCTCTTGAATGAATGAAATTATTCTAGATCTATGTGAATTTAGTAAATGATGTATATATTGTGATACTACTCTTTTAAAAAAAGAGAAAATGTTTACAGAAGACAAAGAAAAAGCTAGGCAAACAAGGTGCTGCTCACACACAAGGACCATGCTTTGCATACCATTTACTAAGGGATAAGTTTGTCTTTGAAGGCTTGTCTTTTAAACAAATAATCTAGTCTCCCAAAGGCTTTATTTTCTCATATAAAATGAGAATGAGCAGGATTTAGAGCTATGAAGAATTTAGTTTATCCTTACCACAGAAGGCAAGTATAAAGTGGCACAATTGCCTGAAAGTATTAAGGTTCTGGAAGTTAACCAAAGGTAGACAAAAAGTTGGAAAGCACTTATTGTTAGGAAACTTTCAGAGCTTCCGGTAAGAATATTGTAGTGAAAGTCCATTACAGTTTCGCATGGGGCCTTTACTGTGACCTCTTATGTCAGCCCTTGTGGCAAGAATTGTAGTTGAAAAGCCAGCAGCTTTGCTGCCAGAGGACTAACTCATATTATGACAATGAGTAAAAAATCTGTGTATGTCTGCTAAAAGTGGTAAGAATGTAGGAAACACACAAATTCAAACCACGTATTTGTTAGTCTGAGGGTGTGCTGATAGTGGAAGACTAGCTATAAATCAACTAGGCAGACTGGAAGTGAGAGAACCATAAGGGACAATCTCCCCACACATTCTGGTTTATTGTAAAAACTATGTGTCTGTATATGTGAGGGTGGGTGATAGTTGGAGATGCTGAGAATGTCTAGCAGAAAGCAAGTGTCATTCTCAAGGCAGATTTAAAAATTGGATAGATCAGCAAGCCCCCTTCCCCCCATTTGATAATCCTAGTTTGGGAGGCTGAGGCAGTAGGATCACAGATCCAGGCAGGCCTGATTCCGTAATTTACCAAGACCCAAAAAGATTTTTTGAAAAAAATCAAAAGGCCTGGGAATGTAGCACAGTGCAGTACTGAGTTCAATCCCTACAACTTTATAGAAAAAAAATGTCTAACTAGTCAGATGTAGTGGTGTATGCCAATATACGTAGACCTTCATTAGCTTACTTATTTAAGACTTCTACTTGTTTTAATCTTGTGCTGAATCCCTATAATGAATTTAGTTTATTGTATGATTCTCTTTCAGAATTTGTTTTTTTCCCACAGCTTTTACTTTTTATGCATATTTTGTATTTGATGGGATATCTGTACATCTCTGTTTGACTCTCATGATTTTCTTTTCTGTTTTTCTCTTCCTTGTGGTATAGAGGATTGAACCAATGCATGCTAGGCAAACACTTTACCACTGAGCTTCATGCCCAGTCTTCCTTTAATTTTTTTGTACATGGTTGCCTTTACCTCTTTGATTATGTCTTAATTGTTGCTTTATTGTCTTTGTCAAAATAAGTTCAATAACTGAATTTCCTCCTAGGGAGTTTTTATTAAGTTCCTCTTGTGACCAGGTCATGCTTACTTGTTCTTTGCATAACTCTCATATAAGTGTACCTATCTATCTATCTAAGCAGATAGATATAGATAGATAATTTGATTTAATTTTGTTACATATATTTAATTGTATGTCATATATATGTTTTAAAGCGGACACTAAATATTATAGTAAAACAATTCTGTGAATCAAGTTCTTTCCCTTCTCTAGGATTTATTATTGCTGCTTATGGTTTCTGCTGTTTCCTAGTGACTTCTCTGGACTAATTTCATGACATCTGGTTCTTGTATGTAGTCTCTGAAGTCTTTGTTTAGTTTACTAATTCACTCGTGATTTGACAGGGATTCCTTTATTGAAACTCAGTTGCCTTTTCTTGATTAAATATTTTCCTGGTTTCTATAAATTTTGTATCCGTTCTAAGGCTTTAATGTAGTAGTTGATGACAGTTTTTGTCAATTTATGCTGTTTTTGTTAAAGGATAGACTTGAAATTCTCTCTTCTATAATTTTTGCTGATGTCATTTAACACTTGTGAATAAACTTTATCAAAGAAGACATTACAAGAAAAGTTAGAAGATATTTCAAACTGAGCAGTACATATCAAAATTTATGAGATGTAGCTAAAGTGTCAGAAGGAATGCATAACTTGTAGTGCATGTATTGTAAGACACAGGCCTCAGACTGTAGACCTGGGCAAGCCAAATATGCTGCCAGTTTTTTGTAAATAAAATTTTATCAACACATAGCCATGCATAAAAGGGTTGTGCCAGGCTGTATGCAGTAAACCTTTATTTTTTTTTGGCTAGAAAGATGGGATTTCTGTCATTGATCCGTAGCCACCTTGGCTGCTATGTAGGTTTCTGTGACTGGGGCTGCTTTCTTGATGAAGGAATCAGAAAAAAGTAATGAGTCCTTGCACATTCTTTGGACCACAGAGTTCTATTTCCTTGTTCTTTTGGCCAGAAGGTTCCTGCACAGCTGCCACATTGTAGTTCTGCTGAGGTAGCGTTTAGGATATGAGAGCTGGAAGAAAAAAGGGAGAGGGAAAAAAAACAAAACATGAAGATTCTACTCACATTCTGTGTCTTGCAGAGCTGCATTTTCGTGGTCCTTTGGTGCAGAAAGGTGGCCTCTCTTTTTTTTTTTTTTTTTTGGTATCAGGGATCGAACTTACAACTGTGCGCCTGCAAGGCAGGCACTTATGCCGCTGAGCTAAATTTAGGGCAAGGTGGGCTTTCTATATAGAATTTTTGCCTGTTGTACCTGCTGTACAGTTTTGCAAGGGACTATCCTCATTTCCCACGAGGAGAGAAAAGGAAAAACAGACAAATGAACAAACTATCAGACAAACCAAGAACACTCATTCCTGTTTTTCTGTCATTTTTCAGATTTTTGCTCTGCTCTGTAGCCCACGCATTATTAACTCTTTTAGTCTTGAGATACTTGTTTTTAGTATATTGTCCAGCGGTTTCAGTTATAAGAACTGTGAGTGAAAGGCTGTAATAGGCTTACTACATGTTTGCTGGTATCAGGTGCATTCATTAGGAGATTCTTATGCATATTCTTTTCTTCTCAGTGGATCCTTTGTTTAGGAAGTTCAGGCAGTTGTTTTCCTAAGACTCAAGATTTGAACGTACTGGATACTCTAGAGTAGATGTCTACATTTTCTGATTGTACAGAGGTAAGGCATTTTAGCGCATAGTTATAATAGCAATTGTTTATGCTCTGCCTACTCCTTCTCAGTTTCAGAACTGTTCACAAACTGTACTCTCAGATTCGCACAGTGGCCCTGCTAGGTAAGGTGCAAGGATAATAGCTAGTGTCTGCTAGTATCAAAAGCTTCATGGTTGAACTTGCCACTACTCAAACAGAGAAGTTTGAAAAAAGAATTTGCTCTAACTTCGCTCTATAGTCCAGCTGAAAATTTGACTTAAAAAAACCTGTAAAGGCTGAGATTGAGTCACATGGCACTTCTCACCAAGGACACAAAGGGGTAACACTTTAGTGCAAAGTGCTGTTCCCGCACATACAAGATATGGTGCTTGTGTTCATGCATTAAAACATTCCTCATTGGGCTTCTTTGATGTATGTGTGTATTTGTGTAAAATACCATAGCCATGGTGCTGAGAAAAGTTGGTGATACCAGCGATAAGCTTAGAGGAAAACTTTGAGAACCATGTAGAGTTAAAGCAAGAGTTAAAGAAATCATTACAAAACTTGTTAATGTTCTGGAAAAATGAATTTATAAATGTAACTTTTGGATCTCAGAACTAGTGGTTTTCCATTTTTAGTTAGTTCTCAAACATCTTGGTTTTTCAACATGAATTTGGAGTAAACTGAGTTGGATAACTGAGGTATCACTGTACTTTGTACGCAGTTTGTTTTCCAAAATTTTATTACCTTTCATTGCTGTGGTACATTTGCTGGAACTATGAATATTGTTGTATTATGTTGTGTGAACTCCAGCTTTATTTAGATTTCACCTATGTTTCCTTTAATGTCCTTTTCTGTCCGAGGATCTGATTCAGGATTGCATTACTTATCATTTTGTATTAATCTTTCTGGATTGTGGTAGTTCCTCAGTTTTTTCTTGTTTCTCAAGACTGAATATTTTGAGGAGTTTTGACGAGGTGTTTTGTAGAATGTCCCACATTAGGTGTGTATGTTTTTCCCAGTAAGAGATTGGAATTATGGATTTCTAGAAAAAGATATTGTAGAGGTAGTGTGCTTTTCTTATGATTTGTTTGTTTTTTTATTAAATTGCATATAAAATGTTTAGATAATTCCAAGGTCAAATCAGAGATCTTTAATCTCACTTTCATTCTAGTCCTCTTCCTAGTCTTTTTTCTCTTTCCCTAAAGATAAGCAGTCTTTATTGGTTTTTGGCTTATCCTTCCAATCTTTTTAAAATACAAACAAATACACAGATGCATACATACATGCTGGTATCACTTCGTTCTCTCCCCCTTCAGTCCCTGTTCTTAGCTCCTGTATAGAGTAACCCTTAACAATGACTTTTCTATGGCTACTTGTATTCAAGGTGGTTTTCTTATTTTAAATAATTTTCTAACTAATTAAAGCCTTTTCCTATGCCTGGGAAATGTTTACTACATATATGTTTTCTTTCTATTTACAGATATTTTCCAATTTGTCCCTGGATGAACGTTGCCTTTCTGCATCATTGGTTTGCAAGTATTGGCGTGACCTTTGTTTAGATTTCCAGTTTTGGAAGCAGTTGGATCTTAGTAGTCGTCAACAGGTATAGAAATACTCAATTTGACCTACTGAGTTTTAAAAAAACTCCTTCCTCTTAAAAAATCTCTTCTATGTTGTTGTTCAAGGTAGTTCAAATGGCTACAGTATACAATTTTGTGCTTTCTTAATGTAGTTTTGCAAAATTAAAGTTGAAGCTAGGTTATTATAGTGAACAAGATAGTTTTAAGCATACCTAGGTAATTTAGGTCTTTTAAAATATTTATCATATTCCTTTATGTCTTTCCTCTTTTTCCTTTGACTTTTTTTTTTTCTTTGTACTGGGAATTGAACTCAGGACCTTGTGCTTGCCAGGCAGGCACTGTGCCACTGAGCTATATCCCCAGCCTTGACTTTTTAAAATTAGTAAACAATTCCTTTTTGTGGAGAGGTTGTAATAGTTTAACAGTAGAAACTGATGGCAAACTTTTTGTGCATCTCTGCCTCTGTGCTGTGTACTATTCTGAAGGCTTTATGCATAGTAACGCATTTGATCCTCAGAGCAATGCTATGAAGAGGTTCTATTTCAGTGTTTCATGGCTGAAGAAATGAAAGTAACATATGCTCTTATTTAAAAACTTTCCTTTTGACAAATTTCCTAATTCTCCTATTACACTGGATAATTTATAATTCCTTTGCCTCCCTTTGTATCCCCCTCCCCAACCTCTTTTAGCTTCTCAAAATACCTGCCTTAAAAGCTGGCATGGTGGCACACACCTATAATTCCAGCAGTTGGGAGGCTGAGGCAGGAGAATTGTTTGCAAGTTGGAGAACAACATGGGTTACAAAGTGAGACCAAGGTCAGACTGAACTGCATAGTGAGACTATGTCTCAAAAAGACAAAAACAAATCAAAACAAAACAAAAAAACCCAACCCCTCCTAAAAAACACCTCACACACACAAAGAAATGTTGCCTTTTTGTTTTATACTAGCTTGCTTTAAGTTTTTAAATTTATATTTGGTTTTTCACGTAAGAAACTATGGAATTTAACTTTGTGTCTCACTTATTTTAGTTAACATGGTTTCAAATGTCATCCTTTTTTTTTTTTGCAAATAACATGTTTTCATTCTTTATGACCAAATACTAATCCATTTTATATTTATACCACATTTTCTTTATTCATGTTGATGGAATCCTGGAACTTACAGTGCTTATTGCAGTTTTTTGGAACATTTTGAATTCATACTTAAAACTTGATAGTAGTTAGCATTAGAAATACATAAAAATACCCGATGAGAATAGGATTTTTTTGGACTAATAAACCTGTTCTAAATGCCTCCAATATTACTACCTTACTGAAGTGTGGTTAGATACTAGCTTACAAAAAATGTTCTGATTTTTGCTTCTTGTCTGATTCTATGATATAAATCATTTTACCATGGCTATTTTCAAGCTATGTATGTGATGCCATTGAATTTAGATTTGGAAAGAAGCTCACAGTTTAGGCGCTTGAATCAGTATAAGTCAGTTCTACACCACTGGTAGTTTATGTATGATGGTCACATTTTGAACAGACAAGTTCCTGAGCATTTATATTAAATTGTTCAGTTTTTGTTTTCTGCTTGTTGGTAAGAGTTTAAAACAATTACAGAATTAGTTATTGCTTAATTAAGTTCATGAAATTTGTGTATAGAGAGAATGATGTCAGTTGTGTCTAATAGAATAAAAAAATTGTGAAATAATCCATTTACCCTTTACTTCATTACTCTTCGATGTCAAAACTGTTTATAGCAAAATTACACTAAGAATGACTTTCCTCTGCTGATAGTAAGATTTGGAGGTGAAAAAATAAAAGGAGGGGCTGGGGATTTAGCTCAGGGCACAAGCACCTGCCTTGCAAGAATGAGGTCGTGAGTTCGATCCCCGGTACAAAAAAAAAGAAAAAAGAAAGAAAGAAAGAAAGAAAAGGAGAAGTATATCAAACTTTTAATCTTTCAGGGAGCAGTTTCCACTGATGCTGTTTTCAGAAAGCATAAACAGTTTTATTTTTGACTCTTACTCCTCCTGTTTTTCAGCTGTCTATTTTGTTTTTGTTTTTCCATTTTAAATTTCATGTGAATTTTCCTTCTGTTATTTTTACCCCAAGGACTTAAGTAACATTAACTCTGTTTCCCTTTCAAGTGTGATGATTGGTCAGGGAACATGTAGAGATTGACTTTTTTTTTTTTTTTTTTTTTTGTATTTTTACTGGTACCAGGGATTGAACTCATGACCACACGCTTGCAAGGCAGGCGCTTTTGCCGCTGAGCTAAATCCCCAGCCCCGAGATTGACTTTTTAAAAAATTCTGATGTCTGTGTGAATATTTTGTTTGATAAATTATAAGATTGATTATGTTCTGAATACATTTTTTTGACATGGACATTTCTATAGAATTTTTAGCATTTTGAAATACAATGTATATTTTCTATGCTATGAATTAATTACATATGTGTTAGTATCCTGATAGTAGTAAAACAATTGAAATTAAACCTATAGTATTATGTGATATCATGTATAAAAAATCAGCGTTCATATAGCATGACTGATGTACATCATTTGCTGATCTAAAAGTGGAAAACATCGCATTTAAAATCTCAATGCAGTTTTGTTTGTGGTAAATTTTTGGTAAGCTTTAAGTTTGAACTAAAGTCAGTTTTTCTCCAAAAAGGATAAAATTTTTGGCTTTCATTGAAAGTTAATACACATATTTTTCCTTGGTATTTTCTCACATTGCTTCTGACACCTAAGGCATAGCTTCTTTTACATTAATAACCAATATTACACATCTGAGCACCCAATTCAGTTCATTTCCAACACTATGTGCCAAGGTTAGCATATTCCTCACAAGTTAAGGGTCTTAACAGAGTGCCTCCACTTCAGATGTCAGTTGCAAATCTCTGGAGCCTCCTATACCTCTGATTGAAGAGCTGTAAATTTCAAGAGTTCCTCCAGTGAGACCTCAGGTTTTATAAGGAGCTAAACATATTGAACTCAGGAAAAACTTACATTTACTGATTTATTATAGTGAATATAACTCAGGAGCAACCAAACAGAAATGTCTCATAAGGCAAGGTATGGGGTATGTCACCCTCCTGGCACACGGATGTGTTTCTCAATTTAGAGGCTCTTTGAATATCCTTGTTGAGGAGTTTTTATTACCTAGATATAGCCCCTCCTGAAAAACAACACCCTTTGTTCACCTGGTTAGTTTTTATGGTAGCCAACCCTATAGTGAAGCACTGTCTAGTGGCAGACTCTGAGGCAGCTAGTTCTGACCAACTGGTGTGGTCCAAGGATTTGTTATAAATAACAAAGACATGAGCAATCAGGAAATTACAAGAGTTTTAGAAGCTCTGTCAGAAAGTGGAGGATAGAGAGCAAAAGTACATATTTTTATCATATCACAGTTCTTGTTATGCTTTAATATTAAGGTTTTTCTTTTTGTTATGTAGTTATTCTATGATCTAATGAATATTATGAGAGAAATTTAAAATGTAACTTTCTGCTTTTAGGAACAATTTAAATTTATTGCTTTCTTTCTCTCCTAGGTCACTGATGAATTATTGGAAAAAATTGCATCAAGAAGTCAGAATATAATAGAAATCAACATTTCTGATTGTCGCAGTATGTCTGACACTGGCGTTTGTGTTCTAGCATTTAAGTGTCCTGGACTACTTAGGTATACAGCGTACAGGTGTAAACAGCTTTCTGACACCTCTATTATTGCGGTTGCCTCTCACTGTCCTTTACTTCAAAAAGTACATGTAGGCAACCAGGACAAACTTACTGATGAAGGACTCAAACAGGTAAATTTGAACACTTATACAATGAGTTTATTCAGCAATTCAAACTGTTCTTTTGAAGCAACACTTTAAAAAGTTTTCATATTGAACATAATGCTTAGGGGCTGGGGATTTAGCTCAGCGGCATAAGTGCCTGCCTTGCAAGCAGGCAGTTGTGAGTTCGATCCCCGGTACCGATAAAAACGAAAAAGACCAAAAAAAAAAAAAAAAAAAAAAAATGCTTAAAGCCTAAAGTGAGTCATTTTACACACCATGAATATTTACTTGGGTTTGTGAACTAGAGTGTTTTGTAGTAAGTGCATCAGCTTCTGTGGCCAGCAATTTTACTAATTTACGAGTTTTTAAAAAAAGATTTAGTGTCATGTTTTACATTAAGTAACAGTATGTAGTTTGGGTCAGCAGTTTGGGTAGACCTAAAATTTAAGTTTCAGTTTTTCCTTTCAGTTACTAGATGACCTGCTTATATACTTTAAAATACCGAGTATTTTAAGACATGAAGTGAAGGTCCAGTTTGAAGCGTATAAAATCAGTAAAAACGTGGTATTTACCTATATGTGGCCTAATAATTTTATTGAAAGTAGATTTATATGTACTTTCTTTTTGAGCTACTTTCCTTTAGAAGTGGGATTTAAAGCTTCTTCACTGAACCAGTGAAGATCCTTAAGTTTAAACCTAATGAGTTCATTGAAAACTCAGTATTTAGAAGAACCTCAGGCTACTGTCCTAATTCTGTCCTACTGACTACTGAGTTTGTCAGTTCAATTTGTGTATTAAGAATGTTACCAATTTACGAAAGGCAAATTGTCCAGTTATGGTCACTTATTTTAATAATTTTCCTGGTCGGTTTCTGCTTTCTATAGAATGATTTATGAGTGCAATGCTTTATGAAGTTTTAAAATATATTAAAGCAATCACTTATGAGGAAATACATGTTTTATGAATGTAGCATGATTTTGCTTTTTTTGATAGAAATTTTCAGCAAGTTAGTTTTACAGTGAAACATTTTCTATAAAGGTTTATGCAGCATGAACTGGATTAAGTGTGTTACATATTTAAATCTTTGTACACCACTAGGTACCAGTTTAGCAAACTTCTGAGAATGTTCCTTGTAATATTTGTGAAATACACTATTAGCATAGTTATGGTCGAAGTAAGGAGAAATTAGAATGTTCTTAAAGATCATTACTTAGTGTGTCAATTAAGCATTGTAAATTTTACTAGTTTGAAATTAATGAGTTTCAAAGAACGTATGATGCATTATGGTTTGTTAAATTGTTTAGATGTTTACTTCAGATTTTCAAGATTTCTAAATTATGAATAAACTATATGAGGTAGTATTCGCAGAGAAATAATAAAACAATACCCCTTCAATATTTTTCTTCAGTAATTTCACAGGAATCTCATTGAAGTGCACATAGTAATATTTTCCTGTGCTTAAGGCTGTGCTGTAAGAAGAGATATCCTATTTTAGATACTTCTCTTGATGGAGTAGTGTTATGGGTATAGTAAGACTATCATATTTATCTTTATGTGCAAGTATATTGATATCTGTTTTATTCTTTGATACTATGTTAAATTTGGGCCTTGATCCCCACCCTCTGTATTAGCTTTATGACCCATTGGTATTTGATAAACTCTTCTGTAAGAGTTTGTTATGATCTCAGTAAGCTGACAACTTTGATGTATAATAAAGTTGCAAAAGCCAGGAATAAAATTATTCATAATGCATACATTTCCTTAAGATTATTATTTTCTCCTAACTCAGTAACTTGGTAGTTGACTGAGTTGTTAATTCTACTGGTAATTTTTACTGTCAGTAAAAACTGGCAAATGTTTTAGAATGGTATATAGTTTATTGATAATGACTTTAAAATATAGTAGGGTTTTAAATGCTATGATTTTGATTGACTTTAGCAAATACTGATCTGCTTGCTTTTGAATTATATTAGTTTGCAAAAAAAACAAAGCATTTCATTTTGAGTGCTAATGGATCTATAGTTTAAGATTTTAAATAAAGTTTTGGATTTTGATTAACAATATTTAAGGGCTGGGGATATAGCTCAGTGGCACAAGTGTCTGTTTGATTCCTCTACCAAAAAAAACAAAACAAAAAAAAAAAAAAAAGGGAAAAAAATTTAACAGTGTTTTACAAACCTGTGAAGCACCTGCACATTAGACTGTCTTTTTTGCAAAATACCACCTTGAAATTTGAATACTTTTATTTCCATAAAAGTCATATCAAATAATTTGACTAGTGGAACAATTAGTGCATTGTATATCTATCATAAACATCCTATAAAGCTGTAGTTATATACCTGGAATGTGTGTGTGTGTGTGTGTGTGTGTGTGTAAAGAGCATTTACCTAAAAGTAATAAGTTGTTTAGTTTTTCTGATATATCCTAACTATCTAGCATTTGTCAGAAATCAAATAATAGTAAAAGTACAATATTAAATTCAAGAAATTACATCCATTAAGTTACTATTGTATGTGACTCACTGTTGCACATCAGTTTAATTTGTGGATCTCAGTAAAAATTTCTAGAAATGTGTTACTGTAGGTATTTTCCAGATTAAAATGGTTCAAAAGAATAAATTTTGCCTTAGTAAATTTCAATTTAGCGGGTCTGGGGATTTAGCTCAGCAGCATAAGCACCTGCCTTGCAAGCAGGTAGTCGTGAGTTCGATCCCTGGTACTGATAAAAAGGAAAAAGACAAAAAAAAAAAATTTCAATTTAGCTATACAATGAGTTTTCAAGTTTTTAAAAATAAAGATTTAGAGTGTCAGCAAAGTGTTGTGTCTATTAGGTAGCTTTAAAATTATGTCTCTCTACAAAAACATTGAAAAACAAGCCAGAACTATTAGAATAACATTGTCAGAACTCTGGAAAATAAGTCAGAAGTTTATAGCAACCAAGGAAAAGTTGAACCAGGAAAAGGGTAACTAAAAAATGCCAGGAATGCATTGTGACTTTTTTCTTGTCTTTCCTGCACCCTTTTCCCAACTTGGCAGTTGATGTGAAGAGAGCAACTTATATTCCTAGTGTGTGACCTAGGTCTCTGGTGCCAAACTAAACCGTATTTGCAAATTATTGTATTTGTCTTTCTAACATATTTGGAAGCTACCCGAAGGGCTGTGACTAGTACTTATGTGTCTGTGTCACCTAATTTAGAACTTTGTCAGGGATAAAAAGCAAGTGGGCATTGATTAGAAACATAAGGCAAATGAAAAATCTTGCAGCTGTTTTGTGTAAAAATTACAGTGAGACATACAGTAGACTTCCTGAGGCCTAGGAAAAAGCCCGAGTCCTGGATAAGTGTTTTTTTTTTTTTTTGGTGGGGGGGACACTTTGGTAGTTAAGGCATTTAGAGCACTAGTATGTACAGGAAAATTTAGAAAGCCACATGCATGCCCGAGGTAGGACACATGCTTAGAAAAACATAAGATCCGGGGAAGTAGCTCAGTAGCATAAGTGCGTGCCTAGCAAGTACAAGGTTGTCATGAGTTCAATTCCTGGTTAAAAAAAAAAAAAAAAAAAACACTAAAAGACTATAAACATTCATCATTGGGTGTTAAATTCAGTATCAACAGGATCTAGAGACCAAGGTGAAAGCAGAATCAAAATCAGCATTTGACGAAGATACATACCCAGATACTCATCTTTCTTGTGCTACAGTGCACAATAACTAACCACTGAGGCCATGGATGACTTAGACCCACCACAGAACTAGCTAGAAAGAGTAGGCAAAAGGTTTTGTTTTGTCATAGTTTGTTTTTAAGCTTTTGAATTTAATAGAAATTTCTTTCAAAATACTGACTCTTTAACAAATTGTTCTGAGAAAAATGAATTATCTGTATGTAGAAGATTGAAACTAGACCCCTGTCTCTTACCCTGAATAAAATCAACAAAAAAATTGATCAAAGACACCTTAATGGAAAACCTGAAACTTTGAAATTACCAGATTAAAATATAGGGTAAACATTTCAAGATACAGGTGTAGACAGTGACTTCCTAAATAGAACTTCAGGAGTTCAACAAAAATAGCAAAAATTGGCAAATGGAATTGCATCAAATTAAAAAGCTTCTGTACAACAAAGAAAGTAACAGTGAAAAGACAGCCTACATAATAGTAGAAAAGTCTGGTCAGCTACTTTTGTGACAGAGGCTTACTACCCAGAATACTATGAAGAACTCAACAAACTGAACACCAAATGAAGAAGCAATCCAATCAGTAGATGGAAAATGAACAGAACTTCTTAAAAGAGTTACAAGTGGCTAAGAATTATATGAAAAAATTGTTTAACATCTTTTAGCCATCATGGAAATACCAATCATAACGACATTGAGATTCTGTCTCACCTCAGTCAGAATGGCTATCAAAAGTATAAAAAATAATAAATGCTGGTGAGGATGAAGAAAAACTGTATCTCTAAATTAGTATGACCACTATGGAAGTCAGGATAGAAATTCTCCAGATCAAAAGTAGAATGGCCACATGATCCAACTATACTGTCCCAGTGTTTTTTTGAAGTAAGCAGAATTAGCATTTGACCAAGATGCTTGGGTGCCCATCTTAATTGTGCCACTATTTACAGTGGCTCATCAGTGGATAATTAAAGAAAATGTGATACTATATACATAATGGAAGTATGATTTAACCATAATGAGCAATGTAATGTTGTTTTTAGGAAAATGGATGAAACTAGAGATTATGTTACGTGAAGTAAGCCAGCCTTAGACAAATAATCTACCTTAACCCCCGTGTGTGGAATCAAGAAAATGAAGGAAAAAAATACTTCAATGTAGAAGGGAGACTATTAGAGAAATAGAAATGAGTAGGGAGGGGAAGGCAAGGGAGAATAATGGAGAGGTGAATATGATCACAGTATATTGCATTCATATATAAAAATGTCACAATGAAATTTATTCTGTATAATTAATATGTGCCCCTAAAAAGCAAGACATGACTTTGGGCATTGTAAGAAGAGTGAAACACAGTTGCC